TACCAACTCATCTGCAAAGGACACCCGACGACCGTTTGGAACCGAATCAGGTTCTGTGCCGCAGCAGTGCTTTATGACACGGCGCCTCTCAGATGCCTTTGTTTCAAAGTGTCTGTTCTTGCTATGCCCATCAATAATGTTCTTGGCTATCCATAAGCTATCAACAAGTGAATCCCTTCTTTCAGAAGTCTGCCTTTTTATAATTTTTCTCCTTTCCGCATTCCGGGAGTCACGCCTCCTATCTTCCGCAATAATCTCATCTGGTGACCGCTGATTTGGAGACACCTTTGGTCGGGTGATATTTGGCTGTTTATGGGCAGCTACAGCAAAAGAAATAGACGGATGTTACGATTCCGGCTGGCATGAAACTGTATGCTTAAGCGAGGACCGATGAAATAAAAAATAAAATTTTAGTAATGTACCTGCAAGCATTTTCGTCCTTGCTTTTCGTCCTTTTGGTGGAGGGAATGGGGGAGGGGCGGGTGGCACTGCGGGAACAGTGTCATATTCTGTAGGATAACTTGGGTTGACTCTAACACTCGACAAGTCATCATTGTACCATCCTGACGCAGAGTCCTCTTGATTCATCCAGTGGCACATAGTTGCATAATATTTTCTAACAGGCCTTAAACAAAGACAACAGGAAATGAACAATATACCTCATTGGGAGTGGCCAGCAAACAAATTTTTTTCCAGAAAAGTTTACCAGTAAGAAAGGGACTTCCTGTCACAGGTTTACAAAGATCACGTGATTACAGACGTTGTTGAATTTTTGCCTAATTTAGAAATTACTGGCATTTTTTATTTATTTGTTTATTTATTACATATTGTACCTCCAGCTTTTTTAGCCATTGGTATCTTTTATAGTTATTAGTATCTAAATTAAGGGCAAGAAAAACTTTCGATGGAAAAGAAGGTTGAGCTGCTAAAAATGGTTTATGGTTGTAAAGATCGTCTTACCACGCAAATACGAAAAACGCAGTTGAAAGAAGCACAATCAAGACTCCACCAACGACAAAGATGACCAGCAACGTAGTATATCCTACAGAATGTTCTTGATCTTGATTTCTCTTTTCTTCGCTGTCATTTACCGCTGGATCATCATGTAGTCTTATATCTGCCGTCTCTGCCAGGGATAAACCACTCCATCGGACATTACCGCTGACTGGTTTTGTAAACGGCTCATTCGCATTCATTTCAGCAAAATGTCCACTCCCATCTGAGTCTGTTGCAGCTCCCTCTTCTCTTGAAGAGCTACTCTCTCCGCTTCCGTCCTCATCGTCTTCAAGATACCTTGGAAAAACAGATCAAGGATCAAGGACCCCAAAGCCCGATCTAGGTTTTTAATTGGGGTGAGCGGTGAAACGGGGAGCTCTACTCAGACGCAAACCGTCAATAGTATCGTAATAGGCCACTTCCAAGTTCCAAAAACTCTCACTTTCAAAATGAGGCCAAGTGCAAAAACTATCTTGTGAAAATGAGTTTTACTTGCATGAGAATGAAAATCATTACCATATCAAAGACTGAGTTCTTAACCTCATTTTGATACAGAGGCCCGGAGGACGAAATGGTTTTCGGAATATATAGGAGACTAAAGTGCATCTTGGTAAAGAATGAGGTGTACAAAAACACCCAAGGAAAACTGGTAACAAATTCATGTTCATGCTGGCAGCAGTCGGTCTTGATTGTCTTGTTCAGTTCCACTCTGTAGTTCATAATTTTGCCGGAGACTTTGCAATGTTCAACAATGATGATAAAAATCTTAACAGATAGCTACCCTGTAAACAGATAAGAATAAAAATGTCCATTCACCCGCTTGTTTCCAAGAACTCATCCTGACTAATCACTGAGCGATCATGTTGAAGGGAACGGCCTCCAGTTTCCACTGACTCAAAAGGCAATAATGGATAACTGTTTTGTGAGTAATGACCCACAGGTATAGCATAACCTAGAAACAGAAACATTTTTTGGTTGTAAATGAAAAAGGAAGTTCTAAAATAGCGAGGCATAAATATGGCAATTTCGCCAAAATTGACTGACATTTGGATTTTTTTCAGTTCTCTGCGGGAATCAGATAGAATGCAAAACTTTGAATTGATTTAGAGTTAGAAGTCATTTTCATCTCATTCCTTCATGCGGCCAAAAAGTATCTTGGCTATGTTTTAGTAAAAGTGGAATCACTTCGAGTTACTTTGAGAGCTGAGGTCTTGCGCGCATGAACACAGAGCTACAAGTTTTGAAGGCTACGATTTATCTCTTCGGCATCCTAAAAAAAAGATTAAAAGAAGATGATCTAAGAATGGCTATCTATAGCCTGCGAGCAAGCTCTCCGGGGCGCTCTGCTTTTCTGGTCCCTCTGCCACATGATCCGGCCCCGGAGAGCTTGCTTGCGGGCTAGATAGTCGTTCCTTTACTTAAAAGCTACGTCCATCCGTTACCTCAGTTTTTTTGATGGAAGATTCGTTGAAGCGAAACTTAAAATACAAACTTACCCTTTGCGATAAGCACGATTGTCACGGCGATCAAACTAGGAAACACTTTAGCCATCCTCCTTTACAGCTATACATCGTTGGCACGCGAATAAAAATCGTATCACTTGTGAAAGAAGCTGATCCCCGCAAACTTTTCCTTATATTCTCCGGTACGTCACAATGCTTAATGACCAGCATGTTAAATGGAAATTAAACGTCAGCGCTAGCCAGGCTCAGATAAAAGATGATGTATGTGCTGCAAAAAAATGAAGAAAACATGCTCAAATAATTCTTTTTCGGGCCGGACAAAAACACATTTTTTATATGCTCTAGAAGCGTTGTTATTCGGAAGAGTTTAAAACATTCCAGTGATGAACATAATGGGTTGTACTGTAGTTTAATTGACAACGTTTTTCTTAATAGAAACTGGACACTTGTTTAGTAAATTACGACCAAGGATCCGATTAGAATCTTAAAGTTTCAGTCATGGAAGTCTCTGTGCTTTTTTCCTACAAGAAAAAACGCCCCGCCCAATATCTTTTTAGTCTCCAAATGTACCCACAAACCTCTTGGAGAATTGTCCTTTGCACATTTTTCTGTGCGCATATGTTATTTGGTGACGTCACACCCGCTGATCACAGGAAAAAACACAAAACACTCAATTTTGGGCTGTTGTATGTGGTGTTTTCTAGGATTTTTAGCATTTTAAAATCTCCACAATGACTATTTTACCGAAGAAGAAACATTCGGAGTCCAAGAAGAGTGAAACGACCTCAAATAACGAAAGCAGAACGCGAATACGAGGTAATTCGTCTTGGACTTCGTCGGCGAGCGTAACTGAGAGAGGTCGATCGAGCGAAGAGTATTCGAGTCATGAAGAACAGTATCTTGGAAATAGTTTTGAGAGTAGAGAAGCCACTGATGTAGCTTCTTGTAGTTCCAAAAGGCGACATAGAAGTCCCCCTCATCGCCACAAATACCATGAAAGGCATAGCGAGGAAACAGGTTACAACAGTTCCGATGAACATGACACTCAGACGACTGACCAACCTTTGTCTTCTGAAGAGGTACACTCCTCTCTTTATTTATACGTTTACTTGGGATTTTCGAAAGAACCGATCGCTATGTCTCATTTTCTTTCGTATTTCATTAAGGTGGAGAGGCAGTTTGAGCAAGCATTAAAGGAAAAGAAAGGTTTTATAGTCAAGAAAATGGGCCAAGATGGCGCGTGTTTATTTCGGGCTGTTGGTACGTAAACTCACAGTATATTAATCATCTCACGTCATGCTAAAAAGTTGCACCTTAAAATAATGTGGTTTTTTTTGTAAAATAAGTACCTTCTCCCTGTATTTCATATTTTCAAGGGCTGCTAGTATTCAACACATGGTTGAAGCTGGTACCTAGGTCATTTTTGCAGCTGATTCACTATACAAAACCCTATATTTCGACCTCACATTTATTACTGAACGATGCAAACGTATATATTCAATCATTAGAGGAGACAAAGCTCGTTTCAGAATTCTCTTGCAATAAGAAGTATTTTCAGCCGTATTCTCCAAAAACATCTGTAAATCAAGTCAGTCATATCATGTAAATTGATGTACATGTGGCTCTGTCTTTTTGTAGGGCTTTGTCTGCTCTTGGTACCAAAATTTTCGCTCAGTATTAATATATTCATAGTTTTTTGCCATAACATACGAATTGGAAATGTGGGACAACTAGCCAGTGTGGCAATGTACTTTAGGTATTGTACGTGATCATGAGGAAGCGTGAGGTGAATTTCAGTGACTATATTTGCTTGCATCTTGTGTGGAGTAATAAAACACTTTGTTGAACGTGTGTTGGAAAACAAAACCTTATAACTGTAATGTGATAGTGTAGTATAACTTGAAGGATGCATTGAGTCTTGCTGAAAATTTGCCTTTTAAGAGCTTTTGTCTGCAAATCAAAATTGTCCAAAGCTTGTATATACACTCGTCTAGTTGAATCGCAATGTAGCAGAGTTGCAAGGGACTGTGAAAGTCATTGATATAGAGGGGTACATTATATGGATGTCCTGTATCATTTTTACAATAGGGATGTGGAATCTTATTTGTTATACTGAGCTGTTTGTTTGTGTGGCTAATAATAAAATTGTTATGTTGTTGTTTCAATGTAATGAACTGTTTTGCAAGATACTTAATAAATTTTGTTTTTATTCCACATGCACATGATAATATTAGCTTTGAATTCTTCCGTATATTTTAAACAACAAGCACAGACAGAAAGGATAGTGGACTGATTTCTTTTGTTTAAATTTAAAAACAAAGGAAACCTGTAANAATTGGAAATGTGGGACAACTAGCCAGTGTGGCAATGTACTTTAGGTATTGTACGTGATCATGAGGAAGCGTGAGGTGAATTTCAGTGACTATATTTGCTTGCATCTTGTGTGGAGTAATAAAACACTTTGTTGAACGTGTGTTGGAAAACAAAACCTTATAACTGTAATGTGATAGTGTAGTATAACTTGAAGGATGCATTGAGTCTTGCTGAAAATTTGCCTTTTAAGAGCTTTTGTCTGCAAATCAAAATTGTCCAAAGCTTGTGTATACACTTGTCTAGTTGAATCCCAATGTAACAGAGTTGCAAGGGACAGTGAAAGTCATTGATATAGTGGGGTACATTATATGGAGGTCCTGTATCATTATTACAATAGAGATGTGAAATCTTATTTGTTATACTGAGCTGTTTGTTTGTGTGGCTAATAATAAAATTGTTATGTTGTTGTTTCAATGTAATGAACTATTTTGCAAGATACTTAATAAATTTTGTTTTTATTCCACATGCACACAAAAATATTAGCTTTGAATTCTTCCGTAGATTTTAAACAACCAGCACAGGCAGAAAGGATAGTGGACTGATTTCTTTTGTTTAAATTTAAAAACAAAGGAAACGTGTAATGTTTAACTTGAGTTGAATCATTGAGTTTTAAACAAAGAGTCACAGGCAAATTTGTATTATTCAAACCATTGCCTTTGACTTTGCTATCTTGCATTTTTGTGTATATAAAACAGTACTGTGTATGTACATGTAGTTCTTTGCTACTTAATCCATTAACAAGCCTCACAACAAGCCACAAGTACAGTGGTAAAAGGTCTGCTACAGGTACCACCCTATTACAGACAGATGACTGTCCAAACACAACCAGAAGTTGTGCAGCATCTACAATGTAACTGTTATAACAAGTACAACCCTATAATATCCTTATCAATGACACACGGAGAATGCTTAACCAGAGAGGAAACAAAAGTTTTCTTATTATAGACCATTAATTTTGTTGTATGTATCAACAATGCTGTTATTGTTCAGTTGTATAGTTTTAGTCAAGGGGTAGACTTATGCACAGATTTCTAATGGTTCCCAAGCTAGTAATTATCACCCTTTTCTGTCATCATGTGTTATTGTGTAGTTAGTGTAGTGCAAATTTGTCCTGTAATGAAGTGAAGTGTACTATGGTTGAGGACAAGAGGTCATGAAATTTCTATGCACCTCTGGTCTAAGGCATGATTTATCATCCCCGTCCCCTCCCCACTCTGCCTCCCTCTCCTGGGTCCACCACTAAACTGACTGAGGTAAATTTGTTTCAGCTGATCAAGTTTATGGTGACCAGGAGATGCACTCTGAGGTCAGAAGACACTGCATGGATTACATGGTATGTGCAGGGCCACTGACGTTTCTATTCATGTTTAAGAAATCTGCAGAGTCTTGATGCAGTATTAACTTTCGAACCCGAACCCTTGCTCATTGCATTTGTACCTTGATTAACCATGACGACCTACATACTGTATGTACCCTTGCACTCAAAATTAATACAGATGTGGTTGTCCATGTACACTGTGGCTGCTACTCTTTGGATGTAACTAAGTTGTTGATTCACTGTATTACACAAATTACATTGGGTAACTACAAGAAACTCTGTGCCAATATACCTCTGAGGAAAAAAATCTTTATCAGTGGGGTTACAAGACAATTAATACTGGACTCTTTCTTGTGCTTGTATTCTGATCTTTGATTATTTTATCATTGTTTAAAATCCAGCTCAAGAATGCTGACTACTTCTCACAGTATGTTACTGAAGATTTTAATGGCTATATCAAGCGTAAACGGGAAATCCATTGTCATGGAAACCATATTGAGATGCAGGCTATGTGTGAGATGTACAACAGGACAATCGAAGTCTATCAGTACAGCACAGGTAAAAGTAACAGCAAGTTAACTATTTTTATGGGCTCATGTGTTTACTGAAACAGCGTAAAAACTTTTCACATAACTTATGACATGCAGGCTGGAAATATTTCAGTCTTCTGGTTGTTTGGAATTGTCATTAAAATTCCTAAGCCTGCTGAAGATCAAATGTGGAGATGCTAATTTATTTTCTGTTGTCTGTTGTACAGAACCAATCAACATCTTCCACAGTTCATACAAGACTGACTATGAACCAATTCGCCTTAGTTATAATGGTATCCACTATAATTCAGTGCTCAATCCCAATAAACCATCTGTTGGTGTAGGACTTGGCCTTTCTGGCTACAAACCATGGGTGAGTAAAGTTGTGCACTCACACATGCTCATTAATTTATTATGCAGTACAGGCAAGATGCCATGAACAGAGTGTATCTGTAGTATGCCTAGATTCCAGTTACTTGTTCAAAGAGTAATATCTGGCTGTATTTCTGCTTGTAATCAGAGAGATTTGCAGGGAGCCCAAATTTCTTCAGTGTTGTTCTGCCACTTTGTGCTTGTGTTACACCAGTAATATCCACAGTCATTTTACTGCTGTGGGGACATATTTCAGCAATAACAAATAACTGGTGAGATCATGCTAGCTGTGAAACCCCTTTCTCAGTTCAGATGATCGCGTCATTGGGCAGTGACGTTAAGCCGTTGGCCTTGTCTCCTTCATCCTTGTACTTCAGTTGGAGGGGGACGTAAAAGAACCTGTGACATTGTTCGAAAAGAGTAGGGGACGTAGGCCCCGATGTCATGGTCTTTCTGACTTGTGCCGTCGTCGGTCTGGGTGGGCGAGGTGCGATCAAAACATGGACTGAAGAGTGCAAGAGTGCGCCTTTAAATATTGACGTCCGATCTCACCTCTCTGGTTCCTCCGCAATTCAGCCATTGGCTGCAAGTGAGGAAAGTTGGCACCGTTATTATTATTATTATTATTATTATTATTATTATTACTTACATTCTATATCTTGAAGAATAAAATAAGCACAGATGTGTCTGAGATGCTGATGCTAAAAATTCTGTAGTTTTGATGCAATATGTCTCATTTGGTGTTTCCATTTTTAGGGAACGCTGGTTAATGATGCCTTCAAACAATCAGAGGACTGGCATATTGAACAGGTATTTTTGTTAGTCGCAAAATCAGAGTTCATGTTTAGCACCATCCACTCAAGATAAAAGTTGTAACAGAAAAGATAAGTCTTGGGGCCCAACCTGTCATTAGACTCAATGACTGGCTAAAGACCCTCATTGTGAAGCTTAAGCTACATTGTAAGTGGAGAGATATTAAGATCCAACACGACAAATGTTCAAACATAATGTTTCTGTTTTGTCCTACTAAAATGGCAACCCAGACATGTAGGCAATTTTACGAGTTATGTCCTTTCGTTAGAAGAAAGTTATTGGCAGCCCTCTCTCACCCATCCAAAGTTAAAACAACATCTTTCTTATTAGATTTACATATGTACATAACATGTTAACTGCTTGCAGCAAATGTTGGCTGATAAACTTCGTTGTACGGACTGGGAGGCCACAAATGAAGCCATGGAGGAAGCAGTTGCTCGTGAATCTTATTTGGAATGGCTTAGGGAACGTGAGAAGAGGGCCAGAGGAGCCAAAACTCTGGTAAGCCTATCATGAAAATAAAAAAGCTAAAAAGGAACAAATTTTGACTTTTTGTACCAACTGCTTGTAAGAAAAGAAATATGCCACACTGACAAGCTTAAACTTTTGGGAGGGTAATTGCATTGTAAACATCTATGTATGCTCAATTTTCCAAGTAAAACCAATGAATTTTAGTATTGAGTGTGGTTGAATTTTTGATTTATTATCAACATCCTTATATTCACATATGGCACCTTTTTACCTCAGAGACTACTAAGTAGAGAAATTTGCTGTATGGAGTTTATACACACTGTATAATGTTGGGTGAAAGTTTATGTGATTTGTGTTCTAGCCTCGCTCCAGTCCCACTGCTACCAGTAGTACATCAACCTGTACAGAATCCAAGCGACCCAACTCCCCACACCACCGGGAACGGGATCGAGATGTACCCGAGAGTGCCCCTCCTAGTAAGTCACCTCGTCATTCACCCAGCTCTCCTCGTCATGAAACTTTTGCAAGTTCCACTTCATCAGAAGCCAAGTCATGTCCCTCTGCCAGTCAGGCGACCACAACTTGTACTGTTAGCTCCATGAAGGATACTGATTATAATTCCAAGCCAGGGTGTTCAACAGAGTCATCTAACCCTCCCTCTCCCCCTGGGGCTGCAGGAGGTGCTACTGCTGAACCTAACTATTTGGATTATCTACCTCCAACTGGATATGGTAAGAACTTGGGTCCCTAGAAAATAATATTATTATGCATGCTATGCCATTAGGTTGAACAGTCTGGCTAACCTGTTAGTGATGCATTCCACTTCCTAATTTACGACACTACAGTTTCATTTGCAACTAAATGCTTTCATTCTTCAGTGATAACACAATGTTTATGCTAGTGTTTGAGATTATAGGTCAGAACACACTAGGGGACAAGAGACAACAACACATCACAGGGCCGACAGTTTGCAGCAACAAATTGCTTTGTGTGTACTGGAGAATCTTGTCACCTCAACAAACCACCTAACTTCAAACTGATTTGATTTTGTACAACTTGTTGTGGTGACAAAATTCTGTGCTCACCGAGACAAATTCCCATATAAATTATACAATTTACAGAAACTGATTTGTTGCTGTAATGGGTCGCTGCAACTTGTTGCTGTAACAAACAAATTACCACAGCGGTCCCTTGGCACTTTGTAAATTGAGGTTCCACTTAGTGTGGAAGTTTGTGCTGATTTAGGCCGTAGGGCCTCCTCCTACTACTTTCTGTAAACCATTGAAAATATTCCCTTAATCTCTGTAGAAAAAAAAACTTTCAATATATTTCTCGTTCTTTTAAGCTTGCCCCTTCAAGGGTGCTAGTTTTGGACTTTGCCAATAGACACCGAGACGAATATGTAGGTAGCGAACTCGAACGTAGCGAATTTGAGAAGTAGCAAAACTGTTGTAAAGTTGCAAAGCTTTTCTCCTCCTCGATCAACAGTGGTTTAGCTTCTTTCCATAATAACATGGCTGAACTTTTTCTCTTCTTAGGCTTCTCAGAATGGGAGGATGAGAGTATTTTAGCAGCTGTCTTAGCAGAATCTCAAAAAGAATATCTTGAAAAACTTAAGAAAGGCGCTGTGAAAGAAAAGTGTAGCGATGAAGATTCAAAATCCTAGCAGTTTTAACACCCAAAGATACATTATTGCGAGTATCAAATTGTAGAATCATGTTATAAAATTATACATATAATTATTGGTTTTCGGTTTGTAAGGGTTACATAGGATTTTCAATGTAGCAAAGTTTCTCAATTCAAGTTGATAAGTGCTTGTTTTATGGTAATTATAGAATTCTCTATTTCAGTTAATGTGAATTAAATTCTTGTACTGTATCCTTTATTCACGTTTATTTTTACGTTTTTTTGGTGTTAGAATGATTTTTGATTTACTAGTCGTAACCTATTTTATTATATTTTGGGGCATCTTGTATGACCATTCATCCCAAACATGGTTCACAGCACTTGAGAGTTGGCCTGAGTAGATTGCTGGTTCTTAATGAAGCAGTCTTTTAGAAATCGCTCACTTTTTTGTCATGATGCGTTACATTCCCTGCAGACTAACTTTACACTAATCCCCGTTTAGACTTTTCAAAATTTAGGTCAAAGTAATGTGTGATTAGTTGTTTATTGTTTAATCCGCTGCATTTGAATTTGAAACGTTATTTAACACAAGTGGCTTTTCCTTTTTGGGAAAAGTACCACAGTAATCGACGTAAGAGACATACGAGTTTCTTGGACATTTGTTAAAAAGGCATTTCTTCATATGTTGTCATGTGATGTGTATATAAAGTAGCGTATATTGCTACAAAGAATAACTAAGAATGACAATAAAACAAGATTACTTGAACTTAACATGTTTTGAGCCATAGTTTCCCTCGTTATCACGGTTATGTATTGCAATGACGCATCCTGGGCTGAAAACCCTCAGGGAATTATGAAAGGCGGTGATTTCTCTCCCATCCGCCCCAGTCCGCCCCTGGTCCAATTGTCTCGAGCAGTGTTGGTTGATAACACGATTGTATGAAATGTTATCAGCGATTGTTGCACAAACTATAGCGACTCTTTGAAGTCCAGGAGCACAGGATCCTAAGAAAATCTTCCGTGAGCCACAACGTTACCGATAGCTGTTTCCCAGTCAATTGCTTGCTGTACTTGGTGTTCTGTATTCCAACAAGCTATAAGCAAAAGGGAGAAAAGCAAGACAATATTACTTTTGACACTGAAAAAAAAAATAATTTGCATTGCGAACAGGCTTCCAAGTGGAGCGGGGTGAAAAGCCGAGCATGGCCTGGGGGAGGAAAAAAGGCCTTTTTCTCCCCCAGGCCACGCCTGGGTCGTTTCGCTCGCCGAATTTCTTTTTCGCCCCGCCAGTTCCCCGCCAGGCTATCACACCAGTGGATGCTTACCACTCGATCCCAATCGTTTATCTTCAAGTCGTAGACTTGCATATAAACCCCCGCACCGGAGGCGCCATTCTCTGTGGAACATTCCTGATAAACCACCCCGTAGGCTTCTCCCTGCACCTGACACACTCGATACATAAGATGCTTTGGCTTGTCGATGTCATCAAATGCTGAAAAATAAACGTAACTTTTCGCTTCCACAGCAACGGAAGAATTTACAGTGGCGGGAGACAAAAAAGGACGGTTATGCTTCTTAGTTAGGACCAAAAGGGCAAAGTCATCTTTTATGGACGGTCTCAACTGCAAGAAAAAAAAAACAGAAAATATTGAGAAGAGATCCTGTTTACAGAGAAACGCCTTTTTATTTACACTCTTGTCTAACAATGCAAAAACTGTCAAAGCTTATTATATTCTGTTTGTAGAGTTCCAATGTCAGTTATAAAAGGAGAGAAGCTTTATATCATGTAGTAAGTGTACCGCTTTAGTCCATCCTTTGGAAACAAATATTCGTTTGACAGAAATCCAGATGAAATCGTCAGATGATGTTAAAAAGCCAACTTGAATTCGCTTATCTGAAATGCAAAAGAAATCTGTTAACAAAGCCAGCTGTTGGGGAAAAACCGGAGGGAGTCTGGAAACAAGAAGGAGAACATCCAAAGTCGAGAACCTGTTATTATCTTTTGGAAAAGGTCTAAAATAATTTAGTGACTGGCAATTGATAACCACAACAAGCAACGTCAGATTCACATATCCCTGTCGCAGTAAGAAAGGTAGGCGGGAAGTCTCTGCCCTTGAACAATATAGTCAGATTGACAACCTCCTTCAAAGACTTCATTAGCTGGTTTTAAAACAGCGGGAATAGTACGAGTACTCTATCATTATACTGCTCGAAGAAAGCTCTCCTCTAGTAAGAGCAGAGAATTTATGCAAGTATTTACCTACAGTTCGCCTTGATCCTCTGTTCGTTGTCACGCAATGTGCAGCAGTGATCACGTGACGCTCAGTGACAGCCACGCCTGTGCACCTGGTACTTAGTTTAACCGCGGCTGAGAATGGAAACTTTTCCGCGGCTATTTTGCTGGGAATGTGAAAACGTTTGCTGTATGTAGAAACATCTCGTCTGACCTTACATGGGCTTCGTGCATCGGCTGCTGAAACAAAATGAGCGCAACAGTGGTTAAAAAAAAACGGTGTTAGAGGATAGGATTTGGTCATGGCTCCCAAGAAAATCATAAGCTAACAAAAGTATGAAGTATTTTAACGTGCATTAAACTTATCATCATGGTGAGGCCAAGACGTAAAAGTATAAGATGTACTTTTTCCGGGACTTTCTTCATGTTTTCTGTCGCGTAGTTTCGTTGCCAAATTAATTGCTATTGAATCACATTTCCTTGTTCAAACGTTGCTTATCTCAGGTCATGTTTTCTTTTTAGAAATTTTATATCAAGTAACTTTTAGCCTCAAAACATTTATGAAAAATGGCGGTATGTGGGTCCAGACTCAGTCCTCAAATTTACCGGCTCGTTCTCTTTACTTCTGAGAATTAAAGATGAGTAAATTGAGCTCAAACTTCGGCTGGTACTGAGACCTTTTGTACCTTTTCAAACTATAAATGGGCATATGATAAAACATGGACTGGATTGGGTTGGTAAAACATGGATTGGATTAATAGAACATGCCATCCTTCAGATTTCCTGTACTAAATGGATGTACCAAATGTGTGAAAGTCTTATTTCGACTTATTGAATTTTTGCAGAGAATCTGTTAGGGAGGCGAGAGAAAATCATTTCTTGGTAGAACTAGGAATCCTCGACTAAAACGCGATCTTGATTTTGAGAAACGTCAAATAGAATGTCAGAAATTGGACCTTTTCCATACAAACAAACACCATTATCACCAGACTCCAGTAAACGTGAGCCATACCTCAGCTTAGACCAAAATCGATTCCCATCCTTAACCTATTCGGAATACCGAGAGATAGACCCCACTTTTCATTTCTGTACCACTGAAGATCGAAACGCAAACAGCAGTCAGTGAATAATAAAGAAATGTTCAACAGCTCAGTGATTGACCTCTATGCATTTAAAGAGTTTACTTAAAGATCTTATTTAGTTTATTTATTCGTTCTGTCTGTCAAATGTCTGAGCTCTGCCATCCCCAGAAAACCTAGGAACAGAGAATGAACAAGTTCCAAGTCTAGATTACACAGATTCCTTACCTATCAATTCATCAGCTTGAACTTGAATGATTCCACTTATTCTGGTCGCAAAAATATACATACTTAGTACGCTCAAACTTGCGGCCATCATTTATGACAAAAGTGTGGTTTGATCTTTGTTCGATCGGTTTAACTTTTTCTTTGCGTCGAAGATTAGTTAAAGAGCGATGCGTGAGATAAATTCCCTGCAATCAAATAGAAGTTCTTGGACGATCCCCGCGTGAAAGGTCTGGTTTTCTCAAACCACGAACAAGCGCTTTATGTAATTTGAATAGAAATCGTATCTTTTTTGTGGTAGGATATATGCGAATTAGGTGTCATCACAGGCTCGTTTAATCGTTTCCGACGGATGCCGACAGTCAAACTCCCAGGGAGCTGAGAGTGTTTAAGTAAAATGCGTTTTTTCTCGGAGAGTAACAAGGGACTATGATTGCTTGCTATAAGCTAAATAGTGGACAAAACAGAACTATCTAAATTGAAATTTAATTCATCCGTTATTTAAATTTGTAAAATACAAACTCATATTTCCTGGGTGAAATCTTCTTACCCTCTCCTTCCCCTTGAATAGTTGTCGCATTGCTGACACGCGATAGTTTTGGCGCATATTACATTAAAAACTACAAAAAGAAAAGTACTAAATAAGATTAAAACACTCATATCATCCCTCCTCAGTTAGTTGATATACCACTTCTATTTCGAGTCTTCAATTGAGAATT